CGGTTGCTGGAGACGCTGACTCAACAGCTCAACATCCACTACTTGAGTTCACATGCTATTTCATATGCGTCGCGTGATGCAGTTGTTAGCAGCATCTCAGAATTCATCTATGATCCCGAAAGTGGAAATACTTTTCTCACGTGGTTCAAACGTTGGGAAGATACATTTAGGATAGAATTCTGTAACCAAGACGACGCGTGGAAGACTCGATTGTTGGTACATAAGTTGGGAAGCAATGAACATGCACGTTATGCTGACCATATATTGCCAAAGTTACTTCGAGAGCTCAGTTTTGAGGAGACAGTAATTCAATTGTCAGAGATATTTGGTGAATCCTCCTCATTGTTTACCATTCAATATCAGTGTCTAAATTTGGTGAGACGCAAAGCCGATGAATATGGTGTTTTAGCAGACATCGTCAACAGAGAATGTGAACGGTTCAAGTTACGCTCGTTGATAGAAGACCAATTTAAATGCTTAATATTCATCAAAGCCCTTCAGTCACCACAAGATGCTCGACTAGATCAAGACCCAAACATCACACTCAGAACATTGACAGATGAGTGTAAGCGGCTACAAAGCATCAGATACAACAACGAGTTGATTGAACACTTACTTACTTACGCCTGTTACTCCCAATGGAGCATAGGCCGCCGAAGTTTATTGAACAGGTTAATCCTAATTTAATCCTCAGTAGTGTTAATGCTATTACTAGGTTAAAAGTTTAGAAACCGATAACAACTCGTAACAAACCAACGAATGCATGTTGGTTATGTGGTGATTGGCATTATGTACAATTATGTCTATTTAAGAAGCATACATGTCAGGTGTGTAACAAACGTGGACATAAAGAAGGTCATTATCTACCGAATCGTACGCCTCAGCCTAAGAAGAAGCATAAACGTCCTCGACATGTGAAATCAGCTGAGTCTAAATTTCTTTTTCTGGTATCTGCCTTTCAAAAAAACTATGACATTCAGAGAATGTATGTTACCATTCAGATAAACGGCATATCAGCTCGTCTTCAAATTGACACGGCATCAGATATCACCTTAGTGTCTAGAGAAACTTATAACTTGCTGGGTAAATCGCCAATGAAGCCATCTAAGAAAACTGCTAAAAACGCATCAGGTGGTGTGCTAAAACTGGTTGGTGAATTACAGTGTGAATTTTCCTTCAATGGAACTAACTGTACAAGAATATGTTAGCTAACAGAACTGCCAAGCCTTGATCGTCTTGGTCTGGTGATTAAGAAGGCCAATGGAACTATACTCATATGTGCCGATTTCTCGACCGGCTTAAATGCTGCATTATATGTGTGTCAATATCCGTTATCAGTTCCTGAAGACTTGTTTACCAAACCCAATGGTGAGACATGTTTCGCGAAAATAGACTTCTTCGATGCCTATCTGCAAGTGGAAGTAGATGAAGACAGTAGAGAGCTTCAGATCATTAACACTCATCGAGGGTTATTTCAATACGCCCGTCCACCATTTGGCATCAAGATCACACCTGCCATCTCTCAGCAAATAATGGGTACGATGCTAACAGGTATACCTGGTACAGCTTATCTAGATGAAACCATAGTTATGGGTTCAACTGACAATGAACTTTTTGATCGACTACATGAAGTCCTTAACCGAGTGTTGGAATATAGTTTCTAACTAAGTGAGAAAAAGTGTATCTCCTTCATGAGTTCAATCAAATACCTTGGTTTTATCTTAGATAAGAACGTTCACCAACCAGACCTTGCCAACATCAAAGCAATTCAGACGGTGTCTGCACCAACTGATGTCTCTTCATCAATATCCTTCTTGGAATTAATCAATCGTTACAGCACATAAGTGCCTGAAATGCATCGAGTGAGAGATTTCCTGAATGAATGACTATCAAAAGATAAACTTTGACAGTGGTCATCAGAATGTCAAGCATCTTTTGACAGAGTCAAATCAATGCTCAGCTCAAAGATTCTTTTGACACACTTCGATCCAAGGTTAAGAGTTGTTGTTGCATCTGATGCCTCTAGTCATGGAGTTGAAGCAGTAATATCTCACGTGTTTCCGGACAAATCAGAAAAGACAATTGCCCATGCTGCTGGATCACTTACTCCAGCCGAGCGAAACTACAGTCAAATTGAAAAGGAAGATCTCGCAATCATTTTCGCTGTCAAATATTTCATAAAATTCTCTATGGTCGCTCATTTACTCTACTGACAGATCACAAACCTTTGATTGCAATCTTTGGTTCTCAGAAAGGAATCCCTGTCTATACGGCTAATGGACTACAGCGCTAGGCAACAATGCTCCTGAGTTATGATTTCAATAGCAAGTATCGGTCGAAAAATGCTACCAGTCAAGCCAACTCTCTCTCGATTAATTGGGGTTCAGCATCTTTGACTAGAGGATATAATCATTGCCCCCACAGCAGTAGACCCAGAAATACGAAGTATAGCGGCAGACGCCATTCGAAACACTCAACTGTCGTCAGATGAAGTCAGAGGAGAAACCTTTCGAGACCCAAATTTCCAAGAAGTTAGAACGTTCCAACTGGAATGGTGGCCCGCGAAGATCAGTTCTACAAAGCTTCAATAGTTTTACCAGCGTAGACTCTCTCTCTCAATCATCGACGACTGCCTGCTGTTTGCCGAACGTGTCATAATCCCAAAGAAGCTACAACCAGCAGTACTTGAACAGGTGCGCGCAGGACATCCTTGAATAAATCGCGTGAAAGCATTAGCACGAAGTCATGTATACTGGCCTCATTTAGACACCCAACTGGAGCAGCTATCCCGTTGGTGTACAAAATGTGCATTAGCAACAAAAGCACTGCGAAGAGCAAAGCTGCAATCATAGCCAATACCACAGTCACCGTGGCAGCGTATACACTTGGACTTTGTTGGTCCACTTCATGGACAAACTTACCTTTTGGTAGTCGATGCATATAGCAAGTGGCCAGAAATCTTTCTCATGAAACACCCGACTGCAATCTGCATGGTCAGTAAGCTACGTCAACTATTCAGCCGTTTCGGAGTCCCGGAATCGATAGTTAGTGACGACGGAACACAGTTTACGTCCGTAATCTTCCTCCAATATCGAAGACCTTCAGAGCTACAGATTTTGGGGATTTATTTATCGCCACACTCAAGGCATTTTTCATGAAGTATACTGGTTAGCGACTTGTGCTTCTTTTTGAGGGAAAGGTGCCATTATGCACATATTACATAAAGTAACTACCTGATGAGAACTATTTCGTTTCTGGTATTATATATATTTATTATTTATTGTAGGGCCATGGTGAAAAACTAAGTAAAAATAAATTTTTCGCTCGATTCGTTCTTTTTTTCACCGAATGTCAGATTGGGAATCTTCGCTGTTTATTAAATGTATCTTTGTTTTCAGGAGGAATTATTAAAGCACCTCTCTTACGATTGATTTTATTTGCGGTTAATTTTCTGAAGCCCTTCAATCAACTTAGCCAAGAAACGGTGTTATTCGAGCAGTAACAATTCGTCCATTTCTCTGTTCTACTAATATTACTATGATATCTGTGCGAACATATGTGGTTGATCACATGTAGCGGGCCGCGCACACATTCTTCATTCTACCTTAAATGTTAGTCGCTTAGATACCGCTCGCCGAGCCACTCCTCCTTTCACGTATATATGTGCATGAATCTTATTAATTGATTCAATTTGACTTGGAATCTGACTTTGTGTTCGCTTGCTCGAGTGCACTAGCCTTTCTACTCAAATTCGCTTGGTGTGCTTCTAAATTTGTTGTCTGCCGTATCCAATAATAAACTGTAGTTCGCGCTTTGCGTTGCCTGCTGAATTAATACGCCGTCGGGATTTCGTTAATAAGTTGTTAGAGTGATTGATAAACGAAGTCTAAGGAATCATCACGAAACCACGCTACTACAAGAGTCCACTTAAAATTCAGACTTATGAACAGAGGTTTTTCTGCAATAAAGGAAGTCGAAAATTAAGCATTAGTCAGGAATATAAGGATCGTGTATATTAGCATTCATCTTCCAGTTTTATGTATACATATATTGTGTTACATAACTAACAACGTATTTGCCTTTTTATTAGGCTCCTGGCAAATTCGTGAGGTTAATTCCCTTTACTAGTCAAGAGAAAACACGTATGACGTTCTCATAAAACGTGATTATATATCCAGCGTCTGTACAGTTTATAGGAGGTTTATATTCATATTATTGTAAATAATTACTGCTACAATCCAATAAATACTACACGTATTCGGGCACTTTTTACGTAACTAGGAAATAAAGTGGTTAACAATCGAATTATATCAGAAAGTTCACGTTCATGTACTACATTCATGCAGCATGAGTATCTCATAATTTGCAACTACTCACTCCTAATTGTCGTTCGATTAACAAATGTGTCAGAAACAAACAGACAGTATATATCCTTTATCTATGTTAATGTTTATAGGTATAGGTAATAAGCGTCTGAGTCTGCTAATTTTCAAGTGAAGAAAAATTGTTCCAAACTCATTACATTAACACAACTTTACAAGCAAAGACGAGGGGAGGATTTCTAGTTTTCGAAAAGTACGTGATTAAGAGTAGAGAACAGACGGGAACTTTGATCTTTGACGAACGTGCATAGATAAAAATAAAGAGTCAGTACTTTATTCTTTTATATAGCCATATGATGTCAAAACCTAGTCTTACTGGTGTACACTGAAACAGAAGCTTGGAAAAATCAGTTTAATAATAGTGAAAAGCAACTGCTGTGTGATTTCCAGGTAGTTCTCTTTTATCTTTAACATACCTAGGTTCTTGCCTGAAGGTATTGATGATCCCCTGCTACTACACACGGAAGCCTGTTAAGCAAAAGCTTCTTCTATTCCGTCCACAACCATTTGAACCATCAAATTTCACCTAGTTGAAAACATTGGGTTCAAGGTTGAAGCATTTGGTGGACGGTTCGAACGAACCTGGTTATTCGTATTTCCAAACAGTAGGCGCTAACAGTTATCCTCACGTTTCAGAGTAAAGTAAGATCGCACGGTGCATTCTCCCTACCATAACAGTGTAAGAACAAGTTGATGGCCATATAAATTACCAACACGTGATTGATTCGTCAATAAATCATAGTTTCGCCGAAATTATTTCGTACCTTTCATTGGGCGGCTGTACTCTTTCTCCCTGAATCATATTTTCTATGCCTTCTTCTTGTCGTTACCACTGATACTTCTGTTGTTGTCTTCATCTCAACAATAAAAGCGATGAGATATGTTATGGGTGCTTTAACCGATATTTATATATCGCCGATATTTTGTTGCCTATGCAAAGGCAACTAATTTAAAATATAATACATTTCCCGTCACTGACACTCGTATTTTGTTTAGTTAGTGGGAGGAGAATATGGCAATAAAATAAGCTGATGAAATCCAGTTCTAAGTGTTATGTTCATTCTAACTGCTGCTCAGTAAAGTGACACTTCATTAATATTCTGCTACTGCGTTTCTATGTGGTATGGTAATATTTGTTGGTTTAGGGACTTTAGTTTACATAACGGTGTGTTCACATTTAGTGTCCATCTCGTTATGCACTATCATTTGACAACTCTCCACAAATGCAACTAAGAACCCAAGATTTAAACCTCAATCAGAGCCTGATCAAATGCATATTGACACTAGTTACTACTGTCAATTTATCCCTTTGACTTGCCATAATAACACGATAGCACTTCAAGCAACTTTCTACATTTGATTATAACCGCCTAAATACAGCTATCAACCGAAATACTTAGAGTGAAATTAACTATTTACGTCTGTTACCCCTTGTGAAGTATAGGCCGCCCACCAGCATTCTCCATCGAACTCCGTCCTGAGCAATCCTTTCCAGTTGCTATTCATTCTTTTGATGTTTGCTTCCGATTCTCGACGTAATGTGTTCCTTGCTCTTCCTCTTTTACTTTCCACCTCAAAATTCCAAGTTAGCGCTTGCCTCGCGATGCAGTTTGATGATATCCGTAATGCTTGTCCTATCCACTTCCAGTGTCTTTTCCTAATTTGCTCTTCAGTCGGAAGCTGGTTTGTTCTCTACCACAGTAGGTTCTTGCTGATGGTCAATGAACACCGAATATCTTGCGTAGATAGTTGTTTATAAATACTTGCACACTTTTTATGTTGATTGTAGTAGTTCTCTAAGTCTCAGCCCTGTACAATAAAAATTTCTTGACGTTTGTATTGAAGATCCTGACTTTGGTCTCGTGTGACGGTCTTTTTAAATTCCAGGTGATCCTCAATTGTAGAAATGCTGCCCTTGCTTTGCCAATCCCCATCTTCACGTCTGCATCAGATCCTTCTTGTTCATCGATGATGCTGTCCAGGTGCGTAAAGGTCTCCATCTCTTGCAGAGCTCCTTCAAGTGTGATTAGGTTGGTGTTCTCAGTGTTGTATTTAAGGATTTTGCTTTTCCCTTGGGTATGTTGAGGTCTACGGATGCAGAGATTTCTGCTACTCTGGTTATCCTCATCTGCATTTGTTGGTGTGTATGGGGTAGAAGAGCTAGGTCATCTGCGAAGTGCAAATCGTCTAGTTGCATCCAAGCTGTCCATTGTATTCTATGCTTCTGAGATGTGTAGGTATTCATAATCCAGTCAGCCACCGGAAGAAAGAGAAAGGGAGAGAGTGAGCAGCCTTGTCTGACACTGATCTTCACTTGGAATGTGCCTGTCAGCTATCCTCCATGCACGAATTCGCAGTGTAGTCCTTAGTACGAATTCCGTATGATGTTGACGATCTTGTCAGGTACACCATAGTGTCGAAGAAGGTCTCATAAGGTTCTCCTATCCACACTGCCAAATGCTTTCTCAGTCACTGATGTTGATGCATAATGATGAGTCCCATTCAATTGACTACTCAACGATGACCCGTAGTGTCGCGGTTTGGTCTGTGCACGACCGATCCTTATAGAATCCAGCCTGTTGATCTCGAAGTTGGGGGTCTGCGGAGTATTTCATACGGTTTGACAACACTTTGTTGAAAACCTTTCTTTTTACTGACAGTAGTGTGATGCCTCTGTAGTTCTCATATTTACTCAGATCTCCTGTCTTTGATATCTTGATGAAGTATCCTTCTTTCCGGTGTGTCGGCACTTGTTCTTCCTCTCAAAGCTTCCCAAATAGGATGTGGAGCAAGTTTGCAGTTACTTCCGTGTCTGACTTGAGTGCCTCAGCTGGAAGACTGTCAAATGCTGCTGCTTTCACACTGTTGATTTGTCTGATGACCATCCCGATTTCCTCGATCGTTGGTGGGGTGACAGCTATAGGAAGGTCTGTGTGCGCTGCTTCGATGTATGATGGATTCAATGGAGCTGGTCTATTTAAGAGTTGCTCGAAGTGCACTACCCATCTGTTTCTCCTTCTTTCCATGTATCTCTTCTTGTTGGCTCTAATGCTCATCTTCACATGCTTGTTTGCTTCTATGTATTCAGCTTGTACCTTGACTTTCTCTGTTCATGTTCAGTTGTCGTTGATTGTTGTCTTCGTGTTCTTCCTCTCTTGAATTTTGTCCAATTATTCATTTCTTATAATGACGTTTGTTGCGACCCAGAACCTCCTGACACGTTGATTTTAGTGATTGTTTATCCGTTTCCAGTTGTTCTTCGTGGTAGTTTCTTCTTATTTGAGTAGATTTTGTAGGAATTAGAACCTGTTATTGAGAGTTGTCTTGGATTCGTTGAGTTTATCAGCATGTCGAAGTGAGGCTCTATTGAGCCCTTGAAAGGTTGCTTTCCCAGTCGTCCAGTGTTTCGTTAGCTTCAGTTTAATCTTGACAACGACCTGGTGGTGACCTGAAGCCGTTTCAACTGTTTTCCTGGTTCTCACGACTTCTATGGACCTATTGAATGTTTTACTGACGCAAATATGGTTGATCGGATTCTCTGTAGTGCGATCCGGTGATACCCACGTAGTTTTATGTATGCGTTTGTGTGGAAATATTGTGTCGCCTATGACCATTTTGTTAAATGCACACAAATTTGCAAATCTCTCGTCATTCTCGTTCCTTTCTTCCAGTCAGTCCATATCGTCCCATGCTCAGATAACCGCCTGTTTCTTGCAAACACTAACTTTGAGCATAAGGAAAAACATCTTTTAACATGGCGACCTCCTAATTCGTCTCAACGCTGGACCCAAATAGATCACATCGCTATCAGCCACCGATGGAGGGGCTCGATAGAAGACTCGCTCATTTTGGAGCACATGCTTAGACTCAGATCATGCTCTAGTGCGAGCGCGTATTTGTCTACGTCTTGCTGGACGTAGGAAACATGCTGCAAAGAAACCCCTTAGGGTCCTACTTAATGATAGTCAAGCTAAGAGTATATTTCAGGAACATCTAGAAAAACAGTTAGGCAGTCATGTAAGTGATGCCCACCCCGAGGCAGCGTGAAATGACATCCGAAAAGCTGTAGAAACAGCAGTGATGTCTGCAAGTACGGTAAATCATAAGGGTAGGGAGAAACACTGGATCTCAGCAGCATCTATCTCACTGATAGATGCTCGAAAACTCATTCCATCTGGCTCTGAACATAACGAAGAGCGGAGTCAGCTTAAGTGCAAGCTGACTAGAAGCCTACGCAATGATCGTGAACAGTGGTGGGTAGCGAAAGCAAAAAAGATGTAAAAGGCAGCGGCAATAGGTAACAGCAGGCAACTGTTCAGACTTGTAAAGGAAACCGGTATTAAACCCAACTGTTAGCGAAACAATCACAGAGAAAGATGGACATATTATTCATTCTCAATCAAGGAGATTGGATCGATGGGCAGAATACTTTAGGGATCAGTTCAACTGGCCTTCAGCCACACTTCGATTTCCCACGATCTCCAGTCGACCCGAATGGCAAGTTGATGTAAGTCCTCCAACTCTACGAAGTTGAAAAAGCTATAGGAAATCTGAAGCGTGGGAGAGCAGCAGGCCCTGACAGGTTTACCCCTGAGATTTTTAAGGATGGTGGTCCAGTATTAGCAGCGAGATTGACTGAGGTCTTAGGTAGAATTTAAGAACTGGACGTAATCCCATATGACTAGTCTCAATCACTGATTGTGCCAGTCCATAAGAAAGGACAAAAGTCTTCTTGTGACAATCACAGAGGAATTAGTTTGACTAATATAGTGTCTAAAATATTAGCTTCAATAATACTTCGACGTCTAACCAAAGCTCGTGAAGAGCAGACTAGAGAAAACCAGGCTGGTTTTCGACCTGGACGTGGTTGTATAGACCAAATATTCACACTATGTCAGGTCCTAGAACATAGACACACATTCAGACTCCTCACATCGCTCGTATATCCTGGAACCACCGAGTAAGTAATACAGTTGTTATGAAACGGGTACTAGGTAAGGATGGCAAATCTATTGAGGAAGTAGTGAAACTTAATCAGTTGAGATGGCTGGGACATGTGTTGCGCATGCCCGACCACCGACGTGCTATGTTTTATGGTGTAGGAGTAGGTTGGAAGAAAGCTAGGGGCGGCCAGATCAAAACATGGCAGAAATCCATGAAGTCACTGACAAGTGGACTGAGACATGTTGGTAGGTGTAGACTACCTGGTTGGGGACCGCGAGATGATAGCAAGCGATGGTTAGAGACCTTGAATGACATGGCTCAAAATCGTTTGCGATGGCGCAGGTGCATCCACTCTTTGAATTCTTCATGTCCTTTATTTTCTTTCCCAATTTATTCCACTGGACTATACTCCTTTAATAACATCATCAAACCTTAATGTCCCCTATCTCTACTTATACTTTCAGTACCTCTACCACTATGGGATTTGAATCGATAACTGAATCTTTGTGCTAATGTGGTATGGCAACTCGAACTGATGTACGTACGTACGAAGTTCCACGTTGTTACTGACTGACTGACTATCGTCCCATGATATCTTGATACCCGGTGTTGTCCATTACGACTTTGGCGTTTATATCTACCATCAGTATGATCAGCTTCTTTCCTGAGCGTTTCGCTATGACCAATTGCAGACTCGTAAAACTGACGTTCGTCATCGTCATTGGTATCATTGGTGGATGTGTACATTCACTGCGATCCCCTACTTCTTTGTTTAGAAGGATGTTTTAATGATTATGGGTTCATGAGATTCCCATCCTATAAGTGTCTTCCTTTGGACAGTATCAGAGCAACTCCCTGAGTGTATGGAGCACTTCTGTGTTTGTGTCCCAAATACAGCAGTATCTCACCCGAATTTAAAATTATCTGTCCAGCTTGGGTCGAATGGATTTGACTGATTGTGAGAACTGCCAAATTGTATCTCGTTATTTCCGCAGCTATATATATATATATATATATATATATATATATATATATATATATAACTGCATTTTCGGGTACACCTGTATTTCAAAGATATATTCTAGGTGCCTTATTGTGTACAACAGTGTGAATGGTATTAATATCATTCATTGGTTTTTCTTCATATCTCTTGTCTTCAGTATATATGTGAAATATGCCAGAGAAACACCTCAACTTAGCTATAGCTTTTTCGCCGTGTTGGTGCCGATTTCTCAGTGTTCCATCCAGTTTAGACCAGCTATCAGCAGCTGATTTGTGTTTCTACAGTCGACAGAAAAGACTTACTTATCCTCCGTAGGTGCACTGTGGAATCCGGTGAGAATAGAAAAATAGAAAAAATTACCTTTACAGGTGAAGTAGAACCGCTACTTTGCCTTTGTCAGTTGTGTCGACACCTCATCGTATTCAATTAGGTGTTAGAAGTCCACGTAACATTCCTATTAATGACATCAATTAATTTATTGTGAAAACATGGGCTTGTATATACAACTGTGATTATCTTTGAAACTCTTGGTTGGCATTTTGTCCCAGTGTTAGTCCGTAAATTGGAAATTTGTGCTATCAGCTTTTTTGCAAAATATTATCTAGTTGTTCATACTTTGCACGGTAGAATATCACATTTTCTTGGGATGATTATTGGTAAAAAGAGTATATAACGTCTTAATCCCTTTTCTACGTTTGAGCATGTATTTTTCAATTTTTATGTACGTTATACATAGGCTAAATAATTATTATGCGTCTGCTGATTCTTGAAGATCCTGAAGAAGTTGCAGTATGGGCTGCAAAATACGTAATGAAAAAGATAACTGACTTCAGGCCATCTGAATCAAGATACTTTGTTCTTGGTCTTCCAACCGGTTCAACTCCTTTGGGTATGTACAAGCGGTTAATTGAATTTCACCATGATGGCAAACTTAGTTTTCGGTATGTGAAAACCTTCAATATGGACGAGTATTTGGGATTATCTCACGATCATCCACAATCTTACCATTACTATATGTATCATAATTTTTTCAAAGTAAGATAAATATTAAAGTGTTGGATTGTTAATGTATTTATCCTTTCATACGTGTACTTTAATTCAATGGAAACTGAGAATGACTCCGAAATCTATACAACATATTTCACTTGAATATCCATTCTGAAGATTATAGATTCCCTATGAGTATTATATAACAGCAGTTATACTAAAGCTACATCAGTTTTAATATGTTTCCAAAAGTAATAAATATACCTTTCCTAGTTTTACCCCCAAAATATTTGTAGTCACTGAAATGCTTAGACCTAACTAAGCTAAGCTGGATTCAGGATCCGCTGGATTTTTGTTCACTCTCCATCGGTATGCGAAATTTTATCTTGTTCAACCTCTTTAATAATATATTTTCTCAGTAGTGTGTACTAAGTATCAGCACGTTTGTGATGCTTTGATTAAACTATTTACTATTTGAATGCAGCGCATTTAAAATAGAAACTAGTTTCCACAGATACTTTTTGTGAGACAGCAAAGTTTCATTGTAAAAAGTGAGCATAAGGTTTGGCTGATTGTATCACTGAGTATGGTACGAACCTATCAAAACTGCTCATAGTGTTTTAAGGAACCTTTTGGAAATATATCTTCAAGTATGTAGATACTTGAGATTCTGGTTGAATATCGTTCTTTGTAAACATATGTTTTCTTAAACAAATTTAATCAAGGCGTTAGTACAAAGAACACAGTAGAAAAGTTTCCTGTATTATTTGTCAATTGAATACCTGCAATCAGGGTTCAAAATCAATTTATGTACGTAATGTGGTGAAGAGTGACCACAAATTTGTGCAGAATAAGGTGTTAAAATTAACACAATACTAATTATTATGAATTAAGACATTATTTCTGTAAAGAAACCAGTCAAATAATCAACAGTAAAATAAAGGATACTAAGAAATTAAAAAACACTAATAATGTCGCAAATCAATTCAAACATTGTCTATCGGTAACAAAATGTATTGTTTTTAATGAGTAGGTAATAGATTTATAAATTACTGTGATTTGTTAAGCATTGTACCTGTCTGTTGGTGAATATTGAAGTTAGCATTGTTATGTTCTCTACTTAAATACGCACGATACACTATATAACTGATGACACTCGAACGTTAGAACCTCCAAATTCTCGCAAGTAAGAAGACGAAAGACGTTTGAGAGCATTTATTGACAAGAATCAAAATATACAATAAAACATGCGTATTTATACAATTATACATATAATCAATATTGCCATGGAAGTATTTTAAACATTAATCGACAACTTAGTCAATCGACTGCCATTTTAAATATTTAAACATCTGATTGATAAGTCCGTCAATCGTCTATGTACGTGGGTGGCTTCTCGGTGGCCATCCCAACACCTCCCCCGAATAAGACTTTTTCCTTGGGTCCACTTGTAGTCTTACGACTGGGTTGCGACGGCGTTAAATTCTGGTTGTAATTTTTCTAGGTAATGTCTCTAACCTTTTTCTTTCTTCGGTATTGTGGGACGAACATGTAGTTGTCGGTTCTGTGACCAACCCCAGCGGTAGGTTTACATGATTATCTCCGGAACGTATCATTCTTTTGTCCTTTCTCATTTGGTTCGTGTGTCTGACACAGCTCCCGAAATCTCCTGTTATCCGATACAAAACTCTTCCTAGTCTTTGTACAACGGTCCCTGGTTCCCATCGATTTTTCCCAAGATATGATTTTAGAAACACTTTATCGCCAACGTTAAAGCTGCGCATTTTTTGATTTGGCCTGTACCTATTCACTCTTTTAGGAGGCAACATCGCGTTGAAAATAGTTCGAATACATCTTCCGAACATTGCTTCGGCTGGAGACTTTCCATCTGGGACCGTATGGTTCGGAGTGCTTCTGTAAGTCGTTAAAATTCTAGTGATTACTCGGCTAGTTGGCCCCTCGTCTCCCCCTTTCAGTAAAGCTCTTTTGAAGGTGTCAACGAAGCGTTCTGCTTGTCCATTGGATTGGGGTGGTATGGTGGGGACACACTATGACCCATCCCTACCTATTGTAATAGCACCAGACGCTTCAAACTACGACATTGGAGCAAGCATTTCGTATATCACGCCTGATGGATCAGAGAAAGCAATCTCGCATGCAGCAAGGTCTTTAACTACAACAGAACGTAACTATAGTCAGATCGAAAAGGAAGCATTGTCCAATGGACAAGCAGAACGCTTCGTTGACACCTTCAAAAGAGCTTTACTGAAAGGGGGAAACAAGGGGACAAATAGCCAAGTAATCACTAGATTTTTAACGACTTACAGAAGCACTCCGAACCATACTGTCCCAGATGGAAAGTTCTCAGCCGAAGCAATGTTCGGAAGATGTATTCGAACTATTTTCAACGCGATGTTGCCTCCTAAAAGAGTGAATAGGTCCAGGCCAAATCAAAAAATGCGCAGCTTTAACGTTGGCGATAAAGTACATGGGTCTCATTCACAATTAAAAATTCATGATTAGATAACATACGTCAATTGAAGTGTTTTTTAATCTGTTAATCGGACCACATACAGTCTTCGTACCTTGCCCGTCGCAACTGCCATTGTTATTTTTCTTACCGAACAGCTCTGTATGTTAGGGAAGTTGGACCTATGTGAATCCACCATCTAACTCTAGTTATAGACACTGGAATGATGAGTAATCATCTGTGTCAGTTTGTAAAATATTCAGTAATTTACGTTGTTGACCTTTTCTGGTATCAAACCTCATACTTAGTTCCCAGTGGGAAGTACGCAACAGTTAAGTGGCTGAACACTAAGGTTGAGTTTATAAGTGTTTATCATTATAGTTCTTTAAGCAGCCACTGTTATTCTAGCAGTGCCTACGGATACAAACGAATGCAGTACATATTGTTTTTGAAGGGTTAAAATGCTCGAGATTTAATAGTTGAATTCATAAGTCAATTAAAGCTAGACCACCATGAAAAACCTGAAAGCACTGGACGGTGTTCATCCACGATCCCGCTCGCGGGATTCGAACCTAAGACCTTCGGTTTCGCTTCCAGGTTAACTATGGTGGTCTAGTTTTAATTGGCTCATGAATTCAACTATTATATTACTACAATCCAATCAAAACCCATTTCTAATAAAATGCTCGAGTTGAAGTGTTACTACTCTTATGCATCTTCAAAGTTTGTCTGGACTTCAGAGATCCCATAATCCAATCTTTTCGTTTCAAACAATGTCCAAGTTATCCTACTGATTAATCAAAAGTTCCGAAATGGTCTGTGGTTTTATAGCATATTAAATGCATTGATATGTTTGTGTAACCAATTAAATGTTTCAAGCAATAATTTCAAATTTGCTGTAAAATAGAATAGGCTAAAAAAAAGTTTCGACAAATAGAATTTTTCACCTAATGGTGTTTAATTTATCTTCATCTTATCATAGAAATATGTTTAGTATAAATATTGCTCCACTGGTCATTTCTTTTTTCGGTGCCTCACTTTTGTGGCTTCTACGCTTTTCTTAATATGTATATATTAGCTTTTTTCAATAATTATCAGTAACGATGTTTAAATTTTATCAGCATATAGATATAGATCCGAAAAATGTGCATATACTCAATGGAACAACTAATGATCCAGAGGCCGAATGCGAAATGTTTGAAATGGAGATTAAGAAAGCTGGAGGTATTCACCTGTTTATTGGTGGAATAGGCCCGGATGGCCATATCGCCTTTAACGAGCCAGGTTCTAGCTTAGTATCTCGTACACGTGTGAAAACGCTGGCGAAGGAGACTATTGTAGCTAATGCCAGATTTTTTGGAGATAATATGTCTCAGGTAGTAAAATTCTATGAACATCTTTTTATTTTGTGTTAAAATTTGAGTTTAGTAAACAAAAACAACTACCGGAAAACAATACATTCTGACCAAAAAAAACAGTACAGAAAACGCACGCTCGTATTAGTATTATTTAGAATTATACTAAAGAACAATGTTTTCACCTAAGTTTTTCATAGGTCATTTTACTTTCTCTTGATACCCCTTTTGAAGTATAGACCGCCCCTCAGCATTCTCCATCATGGGCAATCCTTTCCACTTGCTATTCATTTTTTTGATGTTTGATTCCGATTCTCGACGTAATGTGTACTTCTGAGAACCAAGGACTTATTTCAGTATGATTTTTCCAAGTATAGTTGTAAAGGCTCTCCTTGGTATAATTCTACTATCCCTTGGAGATGCATTGTTATTCAGTGAAACATTCAATAGCTCTTAAGTATAGTTATCACGTGCTGTTGCTTGGATCGCTTATAGGCTGACCTCTGTTTCTGACCGATATTAAGTATCGAACAAACGGAAACTAAAATGAAGTGTAATTAGTGATCGTAATTTCATTAACATGACTCATTCTGATTTTGCCATCCAACACTTATTTTCCATGTAATAAATGGTCTTCTCGCCTGTTGTACATATTTATACTGTTCATTTCAATTATAGCCGTGTTGATTACCTATAATTTTAAGTATATATAATGATAAGGAAGACAGCAGTTGTTACCAATCACTTGTACCTCGCGATAAAAAGATTGTTGGTAAGTCACTGTCTCTATATAAGTAAATAGGTCTGTTCGAACTACCAATTAAAAAAACATTTATGATATCTCTTGACTTCATTTTGGGTTGTGTTATCAAGTAGGAGTCACTTGAATGGCGTAAGTTCCTATTAGTTTGTCTTTCAGTAATATTTATCACTCTATAAAATTGATTCTTATAAATATTTTGTTAGACCAAAACAGTAACTGAACAAAGTTTCCATCACATTACATGGCCTCGAATGCCCTGGTACGGCCGAGGGCGGAGAGAGTTATTTCTCCCTCTCGAAATGCTCTCACATGGCCGCGCGTATACAGCCACTGCCAGAGAAGTCTCACTCACTGCCTTCTCACAACGGGGGTGTTATTTACGAAATTAAGAGGACGAAAATTGGATGCCCGGCGCTTTAACCAAGTTGGTGGAAATGGAGGTTCCACATAGGGGAGTTGAAAATCCCTGATTCCAAACCAATGTTGCACATGAACTTCAGGATCTTGAGGGAACAAATGGCGTATAAACCAATTGTTGGTCACCGGTTACCATGGGACTGCGTCTCCTGACGTTGCTCCACTGCCTTATGGATCAGACCATTGGGTCGAAGGCTCCGGGTGTGGTCCTCTTAAAAAACTACATTCTCCGGTCCGAGCACCCGATCAGTATTACAGTCCGCACGAAATCAAATGACTTGTGTGGCTCATATGTACTCGGTGCTCATTTGTACCAATGCTCATGTGTTCAAATAAGTAACTAAGCAAACGGAGCAGATTACAAATTAAATTTGTCTTGACCAAAATATAACTGTTTTCAGTGAACAGCTGTGGCGAATAATCTATAATCTGCTTTCATGAACATGGAATCCAAAGCAGAACTGTATGTACCATTAGAGCCGTAGTTGACGTACGTAAAGAAACAACAAAGGTACTTTCTGAACCCTGGAAACTTAGTTGCGTCAAGGTGATTTCTTTTGTGGATTCAATGAAGAAGCGCCCGTTCTTCATTTCCATTGAATTTTATCTTCATTGTCTTGCGCTAACATGACCGGTGTGCCAAATTTTCAGAATAAAGTAGTTGAACATATTAACCGTTTCACTTGTCTTGGGAGTCTCATCAATGCAGATATCTGGGTGTCTGACGAAATCTCGTCGAGAATTCAGAGGGTCGATTGACTTTTACCAACCTGTTATGTAAGCGAGATGTCTGTCCGTTTGCTGCGCAGTAATTCACTTCGTTCTACTTAATGGATGTGAAACATGGTTATTAAGTGTTGTGGATATTCGTAGGTTACTTATATTCGATCATAGGTGCTTACAAAGTACTTCTGGTGTATTTTGGGACCACGGAGTAAGCAATGCCTGGATTAGGAGTAGAGTACTAGGTAGAAATGGGAAATCGATTGGTGAGGTAGTAAGTCTTCACTAACTGAGGTGGTTGAGACGTGTGTTATGTATGCTCGACCTCTGTCTACCTCGATAAGTGGTTTCCTGGTGTGAGAGTAGGCTGAAAGAAAGCTAGTGGTGGCCAAACTAAAGCATGCCACCAGTCTATGAAGTCACAAACAATTGGATTTAGCCATTTTGATGTCAGGTCTGCGTGATTATCAACTTTGGATAACAGCTGAAAATTGTTTTCAATGGCGCAGGTGTATCTATTTTCTGTCTCCCCTGAGATCCTGAATTTTCGCTTTTATTTGTGTTGAGGAAACATGTGTATTGGCAGACGAATGACGAGAGTAAATTTACAAAACGTTGATCTGGATCTCAACGGCCAAGTACACGTTTATATTTGTATATTCCCATAAGATTGCGAGTATCACTATATTCACTATTTTTACCATGTCGCAAGACACCTCTTTATCTATTTTCCAAATTGTGTTCCTTTTAAGTCAACTTCTGTGATATGCTTCTCGAAACAGGTCTAGAAACAAACATCACTGCACTAGTTATAATTCCTACTCATCCATATGCTAGTATCATAGAAATTTGGTAATTCAACCAACGATTACTTATAACCATATGAATTTACAGCTAATCAATATGCATGCGGAGTAGTCAACAGTTACTGATGACTGCACTCGTCGGCATAAGTCGTCTATTCCACTTTGCGGACAGAAAAAGTGAAACTATCCACAACACAGGACAATAAAGTACAAGACCTGAAGTAACTACAAGCAACCTACAACAAGTCTCACATAACTGCCTACAGCAAGCATAAGCTAACATTGAACTTCAGATATACTACTTTATTACGTTGGTCGCTGAAGGATCTGTACACATAGATATTAATGACTTTACGATTCTATAAATCCGTAGTGGACGTTGCGTATTTATTTTCAGTGAATTATCTCGTATAGGACATGTGTATTGGGATAGGAATTATCCAAATTAATGCAAAATAAAATGTAAATGCAATAAAGTACATTCATATGCATAGTAGATAACTGACTGTCATAAGCCTGTATTTAAGCTGTAAACTAATTTGCCATCAACTTTCATTAATTGAAGCCGATTGGTATTCTTATTTACAATATCAGGTTCCTGAGCGTTGTTTGACAGTGGGAGTTGGAACGGTAATGGATGCTAATGAGGTTATGATTTTAGTCACTGGAAGTTCTAAAGCATTAGCATTGCAGAAAGCAATCGAAGAGGGAGTAAATCATATGTGGACAGTATCTGCTTTTCAGGTAAGCTATTTCCATTTTAATGGACTAATTACTTCTTAAGCATCATAAGAAAGCTATATTTGTTGTTGATGAAGATGCGACAATGGAACTTCGCACAAAAACTGTTCGTTATTTTAAAGACCTAGACAGTATACATCGCAAGCTAAATGAAATATCATTCTAGTCATGTTTTGCTTACAGATGTCCTGGTGATTTTAAATAAAGTATCGTACCAATTTCTTATATTTTAACCCAGGGATTACGACTGGTGGTACCTGACAATCTAAAAAAGCAGTAAATATAAGAAACTTTGCCTAAACTAACCGATACATAGGGACCTTCTGATTGGCTTTTCAACATAAGACAAATCTTAATACTTCTAAAAGCCGTTTAATTTCTCTTAGTAGTTGCTTCAAAAGACAGTTATATTGGAGCATAATCCTACCTACGGTCAATTATAGCTTATTATTAGATGAATAACAAGTATTCTTCTATCACATGTGAATAATGTGTCATTCAAAGCATTGTAAGCTTACCGACTAATCTTTGAAGCTATCCTAAAAGATACTCAACGAAAAAGATGTTCAGTGTACCAGATATTTGGCAGTGTCCATATAAAAAACCTAGTATTGTCGCCTCTTGTAATGTGAATACACGTAGATATTTCCACATCCGTGCTTAGCGTGGAAAGAATATATCACGATGTTTTTCGAAAAGTTGTATAATCTTACCATGCTAATGTTTATGAACCGGCAAGTGTCTAATACTCGGCAGTTATCAAAATACTTCGGGAAGTGATCGTACTGGGAACCGGATACTCGTCGAAAAATACCGCCCGTTTCAGAATTCCAGAAATACGCTTACTCTTTTATTTGTGATGTCTAAACAAGGAACTGTAGAAGTGGTTCATTTAGGTTCTATCAAGTTTTCCGATAAACGTGACCGTCATTTTCTGGTTTTGGTTTCAACATGGCCTTGTAGTAATTGAAGTTTTTATTCGTGAAAATTGGATAATCATTGTCAGGCGAATTGAGTACTGATCCTATTTAGCATGGGCTACACTTCTGATGCTATAAGGAGCTCTAACTAAGTACTACGGGATTGTGGGCTATTTTTAAATTTTGGAATTAGAAATTACGATTTCAAAGTTTTTTTTACTTAGCTCTTCATCATGATCCGACATCAATACACATTTACTTCTGACTATAAAATCAATATCAAAAGACGGTTGTGAACAGATGAACATAATAACAACAAAGAAGGAACTGATATAGTGAAAATAAAGTCGCAAAGCAAATAGGTGGAAGTTCGTAATTAGAAACCACTTAGTTATCCGTAATGATTACGCTTGAATAAAGATGGATGTTTAAGTTTTTAGAAGAGTGTAGCTACTCAAGACGAAAGTCAATAAATGTTGGTCTAACTTTGGATTAACAATTTGTTATCGTTACATAGCAACAAGCATAAAAACCAGGGTTAATTTCGGAATTAGTTAATCGCCCAGGGGATAGTGAGGTCGTGCAAAGGTTATCCAAGCATCCCTATGACATTCGTTGTACAGGAGCCAACATCTGGAGGTAGGGCAAGCTAATTAGGATTTGACTTCGAATTCCGAATATTACACGGAATATGATGCACAGTATTGACTAAGAATGCATTGTACTGCTCCTTATTGTGCATTATCATGTACGCAACTGTGAGAGGTGATGGATTGGTTTCACTAGATGTGACCACGACTAATGGACTCTGTTAAATTTTCATAAGTTCGTGTTATCTTTGTTATTGAAGTTGATAAAGTATCACAATTAAACTTGTTCTGCTGCCTAAATATGTACTCTGAGTTACTAAATAGACAAACATATGCTAATATAATTAGCATATACAATGTTCTTCATTTGAACGAGTCTTTTTCACTTCGAGAAAGTTACAGTATATGTAATTGATATTCACCTCATTTTTATTAGTCCAAATAGGTTGTAAAAAGGTAATCTATGTATTGTTACGTGCATTTTGAGAGTTACTTAAGTCGTCTGATTGTTTCTTTTGTGGATTCAGTAATGTGATCAGCAAAGCTTTCAGAAACACACGTGCATAAGCTATGTTGAGGTGATTCATTGTAATTAAGTATCTGTGTATTCGACTGTAAGCTGTTAAAGCCTGATATATAAATCTTAGCTGAGAACATTGAGTATGTTGCAGAAAATTCAACTTTATGAACAAATGTCAGAATTGCAATCGATATAAAACCTGGACTACATGAATGCGCAGTTGGTCAGCATCCTGATTAATAATAACTTGCCATAAATATGAAGAAAAACCCGAACACAATAAATATCATATCCCACCTCTCGTAAACAAAGTGTACAATTTCCTAAACATGCAAAATATCTTATTTTTTGAAAGGACTGAAAACGAATAGACAAAAATATTTTTGGTATAAGAGTTTATAAACGAAAATACACTTACAGTAATAGGACAAGCGCCAAGACAAAGATAGTAATCTATGAAGACAGACGTCAGTAACTAGCAAACCGAACAATGCTAGCTAATGAATAATTAGTGTTTGTGGCAAAAATACCACGTGTTTAATTGAATGGAATGAACGGCGTAACTAATACATTTTAAGAGAGCGGTCAACGGGACTCGTTTCAACGATAAAAAAGCCGGAACATCAGTCCATCACTTGTTCTTAATCGAAAAGCAAATTTACCAATAAAGGGATATACAAAGTGCATAACTAGTCTGTGTATGATCTATGTCATAACTGTGGAGTGTAGGTTGACTGAAGGCTGTTGCAATTATGAAAAACATCAACAGGTGTGTAAACAACAAAATTCCTAAAAAACACTAATATGTAAGCCAGACATCGTGGATGCGGATTAAGTACTGGAAATAAAATAACTGCTTGCTCCTTAGTGGACTTCATACTGTGATAAAAATCACCTCAAGTACCAAATCTACCAAAAACCATCAGATAAGGACGATTTGTTTCTCTCTAAGTCCGAATGTAAAATAATGAGGGAATCAAACCAGTCATTTATCAACACAGACCCTGGTGTATGTATCGATCTAAGTTCGCGTGTCTTAGATTAACACAGTGAGAGGAAATTAGCATATTTTGTTGTCTCTCATATATCTATGTTACGTACTTTTAAAGAGATGTATTAAAAGACTTGTTGAAGAGGGACTAAAACTTGCTAGTTAGCAGTTGAAAGCTGAGAGCTTAAACTACTGAGTCGAATGCGAACTTTTGTCTTGCACTAGAAGATAGCATTGAGACGGTACTGAATGATAAGTTTCTGAAGTGGGATCAAAACGTAACCATAGTCGGTCAGTTATGTGCAATGTGAAACCTAACAAATGAGCATCTATTTAAGTTGCCAAACCGCATTAACACAGCGAGATAAAATTAATCAAGACAAATCTCAAAGTATTAGAAAAACCTAGGTATGATATGATATTTCAGGACTCCGGTTCTAAGGAAGGATAAAGATGAATGCACCTGTTGAGATGTGATAGCGAAGGGATGATTGATCGTTAAGTGTGAACAAACAAGCACTGACTATTAAATACGTAACTTACTTTCCTGTTATCGATTTCTTCTTCGAACTCACTGAGTGTGATTATTTATAACTATATTGAATAAAGTATTATCTAGGGTTAATCTGATTTCCTATTCTGGGTTGTGAATCCCGGATCTGACATAAAGTGACTAGTTTCATTATCGTAGTATACATGAAGGAGAAAATATTTTAAACTACCCATCATGTTACTTGAACTATTCAAAACGATTTTGAGCTATGCCAGCCAAAGTCTCTAGCCATTTATGACGATAATCACGCGGGCCCCAACCAGGTAATGTGCACCTGCTAACGTGACTTATCCTAATTGTCAATGAAAATGAATTAATCAGCGCTAGCGAATGAGCTGAGAGAACTCTGGATTATAACTTAATTGACTTGCTATTTTATTTTGGAATATATCTGCATTCAATCCAAGTCGTTTTTTAGGAATAATAAGGTGAATAGCAAGAACTGACACCAGACAATGTCGCGCATAGAGGAGGAGGGATATGCATATGTAACACATGTCCCAACTACATCAGTGAATGAAGATTCACTACCTCATCAACAGATTTATCACCTTTACATAATACTCTGTACTTAACCTTTGAACCGCTCACTCGGTGATCCCAAAACACAAGAGAAATCTTTGAGACATACATGATCGCGTACTAGTGACCCACTGAAGTATATTCTTAATGGCCATATTCCACACCCATAAAGTAGGGCAGAGCAAATTACTGCACAGTAAACTCGTACTTTAGTTGACAGACGATTAATTATGCCAGAAGTGTGACATGTATTTAGAAACAGAAGAGACTGAAAGTAATCCTCTTTCCATGAGCGATCTGGCGTTTAAACTAAGTATTTCAGGAATAAACAACTGACGTACTGTCATTCATTTAATGAGTACAGTTAGTCAGTAAATTATTTTTATTTGAATTAGATGTGAACGTAATTCATGAGGTCGGTAAAAATACCCATTGGTTGTAATAAATATAATTGTTACAATATATAGACAGCTGAAAGCCCATAGATATAAGCTGTGTATGTTTTTCTGTAATGATAACCCAAATAGTGAATAGCGTAAACGTTCACATTGCGTAAATATTCGATCAATTAAGTACAATACGATAAAAATTACTTCATGAGACTACAGGTAAGATTTCGAGTTAAACATGTAAGATATAAATACCTTATTAATAAGATGACACAAATATCAGATGTTACTTATTAATATAAGCTTCAAAGATTTATATTATCATCGTTGTTTTTGACCTGCTATAAGACTGATCGTCATCTTCACGTTCTTCATCTTCCTCCTCTATTGGTTCATGAAGAAGACGGTTTACTGCGGGAGTATTAGGAGTAACACTTAAAAACCCAGTATCCATAGCCGTATGATCATCCAAAACATTCAATCTCGACGTATTATCAGTTTCGCTGGGAGCAACGCTCTCAGATGGGATCAACCTAGTGGGAATATTTATGGTACTATTTCGATTTAAATGACGCGCAGTCGTTAAATCCTAAAAGAAATTAGAAGAAATGAAACTATGTACAAGTAAAAGATTAGATTTTATTGGATATAAACGCCAATCTCTACGGAAAAGTTGTATACAAGTTTCTAGTTAATAATCCTTTACAAATAGATATATTTATCTGTTTCACTCCACAACATGATAAAAATATGGCTTTTCGAGTTATGTGAGTATTTGTATGTTAAATTCAAGTTAGGTGGCTACACAAACCAAATGTCCCCCTAAAGTGTACAGTCAAAGGAAAAGCTGTTACTAATAGGAACTGGAAGATTTGGGGATTGTGTTATAGTAGCCCCATATGATGCTCATTTAGTGCCAACCAAAAAGGTAATTGGATAAATAGGACTGTCAATTGTCTTTGCCATAACGATAGTAAAATTTTATGTCCATTATTTTTTGGCAACACCATAAGGGTAGTATCGATGAAACAAAAAAGATTATATGGAAAATAGAATTCGCGAACAATGAATGTGTTCTTTTGGTACACCTTTCAACGATAAACTGCCACAAAACCTCTCAATCTACGTAGTCCAAATCCGCCTTCAGTTCAAAAATGTAACTATAGCAGACCACCGGTAAGTATGCATTTGCGAAGAGTGAATATTTGATTGATACATCTAACTGATGGCCTGAAAACAACCTGATTCTCCCTAGTCGAAAGCCTATTTCGATTCGATATTCAGGATTTTTGGAAGTAGTAAGGTAGCTGGATATTAGCTGCGTTCCTTATCGAAGTATTCAACCTATTGTTACAATCTTCTAGGCTGATTACAGAAAATAACTCCGCCTTTTTCGGAGATAGTTATGCTGACAGCTGTCTTTTTTAATAAATGTTTCATCAAAAATCCTGTCAGTGATGGATACAGCTTATGTTAATATTGAGCTCTAACATATAAACAAATAGAAATACTTATTGCTTGAAAGACTCGCTCAAGAAATTTCAACAAAGTAACTGAATAGAACTCCCATCATATAGATAATGCATGAGAGATGTAATTTCCAACTTACTTGTGAATGACCAATTAGTGACAAAGATAACGCAGACCCGATCATATCAGAAGTGAAAGGAAAGCTACAAGATAAACAAAAGAGGTACATAAATGCAGGCAGTTTGGAAACAAAGAGCAATGAACCCATTGATAAATATAAATCATAGTAGGTATTTGAATGTAGCAATAAAGTAACACAAGTTGAAAAAGTTATACAAAACCTGGTTATGAAAACACAGAAGCATTTTTAACTTTCATTATAATCATATATACACATACGCCTGCTAAACCTCGTGGAGGAGCACGGGTCACCGAATGCTACCCTTACTTTGCCAATCCCCATCTTCACGTCTGCATCAGATCCTTCTTGTTCATCGAAGATGCTGTCCAGGTGAAGCCTGCTTTGGTTTGGGCACCCGGGCAGTATCTCAGCCCACACACTAAAACCATGATGAACTATCTGCTTATGGAAAATATTCGTTTCTCTTCGACTAACATTGAAATGACTGGTATTATTATTATTATTATTATTATTATTATTATTATTTACTACGTCATTTATTCACTATCTCCTATTTCTACTTTTTGTATCCGTTTCAACTCAGACAGCAGCTCGCCTATGGTAAAAATTCAGCTTTATCTAAACGTTCTCGAGTCACTGCCTGGTTGAAAATTGTATGTTGCCACCAAATATGAGTACTGAAGCAGTCTTTCTGAAACCACGTGCACCATTCAAACTGGTTGCCTTCAACGTTCGCACACTTATGCAGGTCGGACAACAAATAAGGCTGGCTATGTCTTTGGAAAGTCTTAATATTGACGTTTGTTGTCTATCCGAGACCCGTATTCAAGACTCTGGTGAAGTACTACAAGTTCGGTGTCACCATCTTGAAACACCGACTTCGGTGGCTTGGACATGTTCTACGAATGTCGTCCCAGAGAATTCCACGTCGTGCATTATTTGCCGACTCTGGGACTGGTTGGAAAAAGCGGAGAGGTGGTCAGTATATGACATGGTGTCGCGGTATGAAAGAAAGCTGCAAAGGGCTGGCTTCTGTTGGTCCTTCACGACTCCCTGGTTGGGGTCCGAGAGACGGTGTAACGCAGTGGCTAGAGACGTTATCAGATATGGCTCAGAATAGAAGCCAGTGGCGATCCTGCTGTAACCTTCTTTTACTTTCTTCATAAAAAGTGGTTGTATCTTCCTTAACTGTAAGATCTCTTCTGATTGTACCTTTTCGTTTCCCCCACTATTGTTCTCTCTCTCTGTCTTTTTTTTATAATTTCCTACGTTCATTGCTTTTTTTTCTCTTTTCTCCTTCTCTTCAAATTATCATTGTTTTGTGTGGCGCATATATATTTGGTGCCCCCCTGTACCAATATTTATGTGTTCAAATAAATAAATAAATAAATAATAACAGGTGCGTGAAGGTCTCCACCTCTTGCAGAGCTTCTCCTTCAAGTGTGATTAGGTTGGTGTTCTCAGTGTTGTATTTAAGGATTTTGCTTTTCCCTTGGGTATGTTGAGGTCTACGGATGCAGAGATTTCTGCTACTCTGGTTATCCTCATCTGCATTTGTTGGTGTGTGTGGGGTAGAAGAGCTAGGTCATCTGCGAAGTGAAAATCGTCTAGTTGCATCCAAGCTGTCCATTGTATTCTATGCTTCTCCTGAGATGTGTAGGTATTCATAATCCAGTCAGCCACCGGAAGAAAGAGAAAGGGAGAGAGTGAGCAGCCTTGTCTGACACTGATCTTCACTTGGAATGTGCCTGTCAGCTATCCTCCATGCACGAATTTGCAGTGTAGTCCTTAGTACGAATTCCGTATGATGTTGACGATCTTGTCAGGTACACCATAGTGTCGAAGAAGGTCTCATAAGGTTCTCCTATCCACACTGCCAAATGCTTTCTCAGTCACTGATGTTGATGCATAATGATGAGTCCCATTCAATTGGATTTAGTGATTTTTTATCCTCTCCCAGTTGTTCTTCGTAGTAGTTTCTTCTTATTTGAGTAGATTTTGTAAGAGTTAGAACCTGTTATTGAGAGTTGTCTTGAATTCGTTGAGTTTATCAGCATGTCGAAGTGAGGCTCTATTGGACCCTTGATAAGTTGCATTCCCAGTTGTCCAGTGTTTCGTTCAGTTGTCGTTGATTGCCGTCTTCTTGTTTTTCCTTTCGGGAATCTTGCCGAAGGTGCCGATGAGAATGTTTTTTTTGTGATAGTGCTTCTCGCGGCCCAGTGCCTCCTGGCATGTTGAAGTTATTGTTTCTTTATTTGTTTTCCAGTTGTTATCCATAATGGTTTTCTCTTTCTTCGAACAGATTTTGTAACGCTTGAAATTTGTAGCTAATATTTCGTCAGTACCTCTAAAAGGATATATATATATATATATATATATATATATATATATATATATATATATATATATAATAGTAAATACTGTTTTACTTTATGTTATATGTCGATCCTCTAAATGGGCGAGAAGCTAGTCGTTTGGATTCCTGTGTGTGGGGTAATTCGATGACGGATTGTTGCCAGTGGAAATCTCGTACAATAGCTGGAGCACTTGTTTTCATTCCATCAACAATACACCATCCAGTCTAGGTAAACATAGAAAATGTCTTGTTAGCACTAAATTTGTATTCGTCGAATAAAAATCCATGATATTAACACAGATTGAACAGATATATGGATTTTAGAAAATAAGAAACTTATAAAACAAAAAGTAACAAGAAAGCAAGTAGAAATTTGTATAACAGATATTATGAGCTACATACATCTAGATTAAAGATATTTCTGGGAGAAATATGAACACTTAAACCAATAAATAAAAGTCACAACAGAGTTACTAAACAAGGTTAAGTAGCATTCTTAAGCACTAACTATTGCACATCGATAGTCCACACTCAATTACTAATAAATCTCTGTTGACGTATGCTCTGTATCTAGTAACTTCCCGAATAATTTACATAAGAACAATAAAACCATTCATGATTAATCGACTCTGGACTAACTGTCATTACGTTAGCTTTACAACTAGTTGTAGATGACTAAAACCATCTGCGTAGTTGACGAAATATGAGTTCATAGTTATTGGTACTGAAAGGTATCATGTTAGTCAAATCAAATAAATCCATAAAAACTGAATGAAGTCAAACAGTATTTAATACTTACTTTCCAGTTAAAGTCTATCACCTCATTAATATCAATATCCTCGTCATTTTCCCCCATAGGATTAACCAGTGTTTCGGCAACCTTTGCAAAAGAAGAGGAACAAACTCTATTTCTGTAAAGAAAATATGATAGAAAACCAACTTAAATATGCACAATAACGCGACAGTACTTAATGCAAGTAGTTAAGATTATTCTAGTTGAAAAGTTATATTGCAGATCAAATATGGCAGGATATAGGAAACACCAAACAGATTGATGCCATGGAAAATGAACATTATAAAACACTTGAAAAAATAAATCGATTTGCTAGGGTACAGTTAGTTCGATTAAATAACAAAAGAATTACACACCAAAAGTTAGAGTATTCATTAGACATGTAAAATTGACATTTTCATCATTATCGTTTACATATAGTAGCAAGCGATGTAGTGAATCATGTGGAACAAAAGTGTTAAGAAAATAAATTAATTGATTAATTTACCATTATTAATATTGAAGGGGTACTGCAAACTTTCTATATTGCTCTGTTTAACTGTAAACGCATTTAAACAAACTCACTGAAGAAAAACAAATAAATGATTCACTATTTACTGATGCTTAAGAGTACATGCAGATTTTCTAACAAAATGAGTTTACAACATTTCCTTCGGATTTAAAAATAACAATAGAATTTTCGATTTTAAGTAAATAATATAAACCAAGTTTAGTAATTATATGACTAAATTTACATTGGAAATTATTTCGAGTAAATACAAACTAGTCGACTTTTTTAATGAAAAGATTAGTGTCTGAAAAAATAATGTTCATGAAAAACTGAGAAATTAGTGGCTGGTGAAATTACTGGATCATTTGTCTGAATCCCAGAATGGTAGAAGTAGTAACAGTATCAGTCGTAATACGATAGCATTGGCACCGAAGATATAACTCAAGTAGAAAATATAAATCAGCGAAATAAAAGCAAAAATGTTATAAGAAATTCAGGATCTCAGGGGAGACAGAAAATAGATACACCTGCGCCATTGAAAACAATTTTCAGCTGTTATCCAAAGTTGATAATCACGCAGACCTGACTGACTGACATCAAAATGGCTGAATCCAATTGTTTGTGACTTCATAGACTGGTGGCATGCTTTAGTTTGGCCACCACTAGCTTTCTTTCAGCCTACTCTCACACCAGGAAACCACCTATCGAGGTAGGCAGAGGTCGAGCATACATAACACACGTCTCAACCACCTCAGTTAGTGAAGACTTACTACCTCACCAATCGATTTCCCATTTCTACCTAGTACTCTACTCCTAATCCAGGCATTGCTTACTCCGTGGTCCCAAAATACACCAGAAGTACTTTGTAAGCACCTATGATCGAATATAAGTAACCTACGAATATCCACAACACTTAATAACCATGTTTCACATCCATTAAGTAGAACGAAGTGAATTACTGCGCAGCAAACGGACAGACATCTCGCTTACATAACAGGTTGGTAAAAGTCAATCGACCCTCTGAATTCTCGACGAGATTTCGTCAGACACCCAGATATCTGCATTGATGAGACTCCCAAGACAAGTGAAACGGTTAATATGTTCAACTACTTTATTCTGAAAATTTGGCACACCGGTCATGTTAGCGCAAGACAATGAAGATAAAATTCAATGGAAATGAAGAACGGGCGCTTCTTCATTGAATCCACAAAAGAAATCACCTTGACGCAACTAAGTTTCCAGGGTTCAGAAAGTACCTTTGTTGTTTCTTTACGTACGTCAACTACGGCTCTAATGGTACATACAGTTCTGCTTTGGATTCCATGTTCAGGAAAGCAGATTATAGATTATTCGCCACAGCTGTTCACTGAAAACAGTTATATTTTGGTCAAGACAAATTTAATTTGTAATCTGCTCCGTTTGCTTAGTTACTTATTTGAACACATGAGCATTGGTACAAATGAGCACCGAGTACATATGAGCCACACAAGTCATTTGATTTCGTGCGGACTGTAATACTGATCGGGTGCTCGGACCGAAGAATGTGGTTTTTTAAGGGGACCACACCCGGAGCCTTCGACCCAATGGTCTGATCCATAAAGCAACCCCATCTCATAGAAAACCTTGCTAAAAAACGCTAACCAGAAGAAACAATTTGAACCATTTAAACTTTTTTCTCCGATTTGAAGGATTTTCATTCATTTTGACACCTTGTGGTGAAAACCAAGATGCTTCAGAAGTTTTGAGGCCAATACCCTTTTTGAAAACCAGTGCAACAATTTACATAGGTACATAGAAAGCCCACACAATGTGGGAGGACCAGTCAAATAGCTGGGGAAACGAAAAGATACAACCTGGTAATGCTTAGAATAAGTAAAACCCATTGGAGGCAAGCTCGACAAGAAAGAGTAACTTCAGGAGACGTGCTGTTGTGATCTGGTCACGAAAATGCTTCGCACACATAAGGATACTGCAAAGCACTTGCAGGATAGGAATCTTATGGATGCAGGATCATCAAGGCATCCTTTAAAACAAAGGAGGGGATTACAATGAATGTCAACCAGTGCTCTGTACCCACTAACGATAGCGACGGAAACGTTAAGAATCAGAGGATCAGTCCCCGAAGACAGAAAATGGAAGTGTTAGGTACAAAATAGACAAGTAAGTAAGTAGGTAAGTGATTAGGTAAGTAAAGGGAGGAAGGAAAGTACGTAAGAAAGTTGTTAGTGAACCCGCCCAACTGATTTTATGTAACAGTAAGTATAGTATATGACCAGAATTATGATACCGCTTACCTTTAACAATCCCATATACACTATGAACTCTAGGAACATGAAGAAAGGAAAATAGAGATCTTGTGAATTTGTTCGCGAACTATCGATTATAAACTGACGACCAACAAGTGAGGCTATGAAATAAATATACACTGCCAATGTGACAACCTATTAAGATATAAAAAGTAATTTGATGTTTATAACTAATAAAATGTGCTTTTCAATCTACAGAAGTGCAATCAGGTGATAAAACATGAACATAGAACAAATGTCAGTGAAAAATATGGACAATCACATATTTACATTGTTTAATTAGCTGAAATTTACTTCTGTAGTACAGTTTATATCATATATTAACGAATCACAAAAGTGACCGACCTACCAAAAGTATATATATATATATATATATATATATATATATATAATAATACTAACGTCCTACCCAATGCCTAACTTATTTGAAACTACTAAGTCCAACTTTGGTATTGATACCTACAAAGTTGAGAGGTGCTTAAAATTTATGTTCGTAGTCAAAAAGTTCGCTTATCTGGGTAGCCGTATGAATTTTTGGAGTGGCTGTGCAACAAATGAGAAGTTTAAATTAATCTGGGTAATCTTTGGCCACATGTAAGTTTGTACGTACATCGCTTCAGTATTCTATGCCTCTGAAACTTGGTCGTAGACGTTTCGTGGCTTCCTGGGTTTTATTGCTGCTCTTTCTGAATGATTTCTCATACTAATTTATTTGTATTGGTTATTTGAATCTTTCCATTGATGTTTAGGACTGCAATTAACGAGTCTACTTTGGTATATATACATTTTCTACAAGCAGTGTGAGGAAAGTCGGATGGTGGTTAGCAGTGGAATCCGTACTAGCTGCGGAAATACAGAAAGTGGTTTCAGACTAGTGTAGCTTATTATACGATTAATGGAACCATTCTAGAATATCGACGTTGGTGGCTAGAGTGGCGTTCATATTAGACACTGCCTAAAAGGTAAAAGTTAGAATTGTCAGTCTACAGAATGGCGTCATAAAATGAAAGGAAATTACGTTGGATTAAGGTCTGTTGTCACACAAACATTCCTTGGATGGAATACCACAAACTGCTCAGATTCGAAGTTAGCCAAGGCTCTGTTATAAGTTATGTGTTCCTGACAAATGATAAATTGTTTTAGGAGAAACGGTATCTATTTCTCAGTCAGATGGAATACATAATTATGAACAAAGCTGGTTGTGAAAAAATATTTCAGACGTCTGAAAAGTGTAACACTGCAGACATTCGGTAAGTAAACTACAATCATGCCTCCACAGAACGTTTATGATTCTTGAAACTTACAAAGTGAAATGGAAATACTATTTATCATGCTTTTTACAAGATGGTTTCTGACATAATTAGAGTGGAAAAAATACGGTAGTGTTAGAAAAGTGAATGTACAAAAAACATCAAATGTACCATTTATGCGGTGTGTGCAGATGTTACATGAAAGGGTTTATTAAAAAACTAACCTGTGTGTAAACCAATGGGATGCAAACAAAATCAATCATAAACATATCCAACAGACCCTGGCGAAAGTTATTTATTTCCTGATAATTAAAAATAAAGGTTTCAACTTTAAAGTTAAAATGAAACACAAAACTAAGTACAAGCAAACTGTGGTTTTCATAGTGCATTTACAGACACAACAAATTGGGATTCGTATAGATTAGTAAAGAAAAACAGTCGTAAAATGATTTTTATTTGCTGAGTTAAAATGTTTGCTGTTTAGGAATTTCAAAGGAAAATCAAAAGAGCGGTGAGACACATGACGTATGAGTTTTTAGTCTAACTTTTTATCGTTTCCACTACAGTTCAGGTTTTGGTATGATAACGACAAATTCACCTGAGACAGTTGAGCGGTAGCTTCTAAGCACAGTAAATCAAAGAGTACAATAAACCAGACTTTTAGGAATCTGCATTAATACTATAAAGAGTGGATACCTGTAAAGGCTGTTTTCGTTTATTGTATTTTAAGGTAACCAATTTTCTCGAATCAACCTTCAGTTTCCTATTTTTGTATTTTGCCTCACCCGTTATCTTCGTACCTTAAAGTAGAGTATATTGGTTAAAAGTAATACTTTTAACCGATCAATTTGATTTTAAACCATTTGACTATATGTTTGAACGAGACCTTACTAAGGCAACCGAGTACTATCAATAGCCCTTACACAGTGTGACTCAAAATGTATCCCGTAAATCTATCTAATAAATAGGTTTAACTAAGTTTGAAAACTTACTTGTTCATGAATGAATTCCATTAACTATCTTCATTTCGCATACAAATGAGCCAGAAGTAGTGAATTTATTGTGCATAAAGGTTCCATAATAATAAGATCACTAGTGAGTTTTATTGTTGCTATACTGATTTTGTCCCGGCTGTAATTTTTACTTTGAGGTTTGTATACCATGTGACCCGGTCGAGCTAAATTGTCTACAATACTTTAGGTCCTACTGTAGTGAACGAGAACACAAGTGGGGACAATCGAATGTATATGAACACAAAATTACAGAACACCTTAGTAAAATCTGAGAACCATACAGTTAATACTTTATTTGCAAAATGTCAATCAATCGTCTCATACTTCATTGGTCTTTCGTTTCCACACCAATCAATCTTTGTTCTTGTTCTCTTTTCTTCAATCTTCTTAACCTTCTGCCTCCAGGAATTTCACTCTCGACTGATGATACATACTACTTATATCTGTCAACATAAGTAGCACACACCACACTACCACATTAGAGAGGTCAGTTGGGGGACGGCGAGACTAAAAGCAGTAACTTAAATCCCAAGAGCAAGGTCGTGCTGCTGACCATACTGGGATGTGAAGGTAGTAAGATGTTTGCCCCATATAATCGCCTTCTACGCCGATGTTGTCTCGTCATAATGGAAACAGTAAGTAAGAAAAGGTCGTCCGTAGAAATTTCACACATCTAACCCCATGGACTTTCACTGCTGGAGGTTAGGTCTTTTGAAATACCGAGCTAACAATGAAAACTTTCTATAAAAGGCCGTGTGTAAGGTCTACGTAAGACACCACAGTACTTGGATTACGAAAACGGTGGAGAAACATAGACTAGTGATCGAGGTACTTGGTGTTGACTAGGTATTTACAGAGATTCTCCTAAGATTCGTATATCCTATAGAAAAATACTTTGAAGAAATGTGCATAAAAGCAATTTTTCAAGGTCGAATGATTTAAGCATACATTTCCCGTACATGAAATCTGCTTTAACTGGAAACAACTTACATCAATGATGGACACTAAGGCATGATGATTGGTAATAAAGCCTTCTTTTCCGGCGAGAGTGACGAGGGAAGTAGTCCATACTATCGGAACGAACGGTTGAACATGAATGGGACTAACACTCATAATTATGTCCAATTCTTCTTCTGTAAGTATTCCTAAATAAGGGAACAGAATTCTAACACAATAGTTCGCGGACTATATTTTTGGAAAACTATTATGTACAAACATAGTTATTTCTTAAAGTTATAAAAAAACAATCAGGATACTCAAAACAACACTTCTAACACTTCCTTAATTAACAACAACAGTCATATATGGAATAGTGCTTTCCAATGACCTACGGATACGGAGTAAAAACAAACTTAAAAAACCAAACAACCACCAGGTATATACAATAAATTGTTTGACTACATTTAGAAGAAATGGATTACATGTTGCAATAGACGAGTGAAAGGAAATTATATAAATTTAGTCCACGAAGAGTTAGGAGACTAAGATTGTGAAAACTGGAGAATTTGAGAACTGTATTAATTCGATATTGCTAATTGGCAATAGTGGCACACTAATCATGGTACATTGAGACGATATACACCCTATATCACAATAATTTATAGACTAAACAACAAGGTTAACCACGGTTGGAAGAATCTGAGCATCCAATCTCTAAACCAATAGTTAGACTGAGAGATGGTGTCAGAATATTCACATAAAAATACTGAGTCCCATGTGGAATAATGCATTTTTATTTATTTTAATTGATTTCTTATCTCAATATAATTTCCACCAAAAACACAGATCATCTTTTCTAAAAGCTCATAAGGCTTGACCCCTTGATAAATCTAAAAGAAAGAAAAGCAAAGTTACGAGGATAAAGTAATTCATCGTACTAGGCTGCTCATCAGCTCCAAACAGACTAGAGTAAACTATTAGCGAAGTATACGGAAAAGCTGTTTATAATTGTTATCGTTTGTAATTTAGGGCTCTCTGGAGCTGTTAATAAACCTCGGAATGAAATGAATAATCGTGTTTCACGAATCTTGTTTTACAGTAACTCATTTCTTGACCAATCAGTCAGTTAAACGTAGCATAAAAACTGGTATATTTATCGAGCACCTCAGGGTTCGCAATATTAATATGCGATAATACTGTCAACACTAACTCTCATAAATAAAGCCTAACTTGAAAGCATAATAACCGCACCTGCCGCGACGAAGAATTCTGGTGTAGGGAAACGCTTCTTGGCAATTAAGTTGAGACGTGTACAAGTAATTATTAGGCTTGACATCATGTACCGAAAGCACGTTCGTCTCATTAAACGAGCACGTTCAGAGTTTCCAGAAAGATGCCCAGAAATTGAAATGGCGAACTTAAGCACCCATGGGATGGTCATGAATAGTCTCCAAAACCTTGTAAAGACGTTATCGATATAGAAACCAAGAATGAAAGAAACTGGAATTAAACCTTGAAAGCTCCTGGTAAATATTATAACATCTTCGAAGGTTCTGAATGTATTTAGATACTTAAAAGGGAAATCAAACCTTTGCCACTCAACTGACAGAGCGAAACGGTATACAAAAGTGATTAATGCGTATAAAGTCATGAAAACGATAATATCGATGTAAATCAGTTTGAAAATACATCCTCTCCATCTAGGAAGTAATTTCAAATCATAAGCTTTACTTCAATAACAGTTTGAAAAATACACCTGGACCCCCAGTGAGAACAAGTTGGTTATATTGCACCGTCATTTGAAAGAGCGCTAAGCCATAAACGTAATCAGTTTCAGTTTAGAAAGAACAGGGGGCTATGTGGCTTGTGTCAGTCCTGATAATAGTGATCTCTCAGTCTATCAAACTTTCTCTTGAAAGCGTCGACAAATGGAACTCCAATCACGTGTTGTGGTAGTGAATTCTATTCATTAATTATTCTATGGGAAAGTCGAGATCCATCTGACAACTAATTTGTCCTGGACTCTTGAATTTCCTTAGAGTGTGTTCGTAACTTCTTTATTTTGGAATAAAAGAAAAGTAATGGTATATCATATACCGATGTTTCATTAAGCAGTTTGTAGTTTCGCATGGTTAAAATGGTTCTGGATGGAATAAAAGAAGCTTCAACTTAACAGGGTTCCGTATCTAGTAGCAGTGGATCACCGATACCTTCAGGTAAGAACCTAGGTATATTAACGATAAAAGAGGAAAACGAAAAATAATTAGTAAATCATAGTGAGGTACTGTCCTTAGTTCCCTCTTGAAGGACTCCTTGGAATTCGCATGACCTAGCTCAGCCAGCTGCGAATTCCCCGAAATCAGTAGCTCTGTAAGCATTCAACATTTGGTGCTGACCACACTAGTTTTACTGGACTCACAATAAAGATGTAAAGTTTAAAGGCGTTGTCAAACTCCAAATACCTTTGGCATCTTTAGTGGTGAGCCCGATGTGATCTGGCACACCAATTCGTAACCTGTGAGTCTGTTCCTTGCTGTAACAATAAATATTGTGTTTTAATTTCTGTCTTTACAGACTGGCATTTTTTCACATTTTTGGATATATTTTGTTTATTGGTATACCTCATATTCATCATGCCGGAATAAAATCCTAAGTCATTTAAGATTAAGACATTTTCGTCTCCCTTATTTCAGTCAGTGCCATTTTGGCCCGACAATATCGAGGCCTGGTTCTGATATGCAGGGACTGGTTTCCAAGAGCACAACGGGTCAGACTCACGTGCATAACTCCTCGTAGTAATGAAGTCACTACCGCACGATTTCAACAGGTACATCACACCTAGTGTGCTTACCAGTGGCGTTTCGAAATTTTAAGAAAGGCCATTCCTAAACTTGGTGATCTAACCGACTGACAAAGGATATACTAACTCTTTAACAACACTGAAGTACGTGTATCGGCAACAGAAATGTTGCTGTGAGTGGGAGAGCTCATTTGGCCAACGGACCTTTGACTAGGGTCTCTTTAAACAACTTGTCCCGTCTAAGTTTCCCCAACAGGTGTGGGCAGTGCTTGTCTTATTTCAAAACAAGACAGCAGATAAACTGACTGCATCTGCCTATTGAATTCTGGATAGTACCAGGACACCCAGCGCCGATGTCTATTCAGTCAAACAAAACGAAATGACGTAACAGACTTCTGCCATACACTGACACGTTATGTTAATGCTCTTCATGACCGTAGACACTCCCAAACTCCTCGAGAGAGTTCTTCAAGAGAACTACTTGTTTCTAGATCATGAGAGACAAATAATCCCTATTGATGTTGGTACCATAACAAGTTTGGCATTCATTCTCAATATTGCAGAAAAGCTTGTAGTTATCCGAACTCCAACCCACCCGACACGAGTAACGTTTTAGGAAACTTCCCTTCCAGCACACGTTAGCGGCTACCGTGGACGGAGAACATAGCCGTCTGTTATACATCACTGAAGTTATGACGAAAATTCGCTATCTCTTCTATACTGGCGCAGAAGTAACCGTTCTTCCAGCAAACCAGTTTACAACTTACAGGTGACAAACTGAAAAACGATTGCCACCTATGGTAAGCGATATGTTTATCTTAATGTGGGTTTACGCAAACCCGTTTCCTGGATTCTCGTTGTTGCAGATGTTTCTACGTCACTCATCAATATAGACTTGCTACAACATCATCATTTACTAATCGGCACACACAAGCGGAGGTTAGTGGGTGGAAATACTATGTTTTCTGTTTGTGTAACTTCCTTTTGTGGTTTTAGATTGTCTCCAGTCATTGTTAAACACATAATCGACCCGTATCATCTATGGATACTCGATAAGTGCTTGAACTTTACGAAATGCGATTAAAACTACCATGTGTAACCAGATTTGTTGCACATTACATCATGACTGCAGGACAATCTGTATTCTCGAAAGTGTTCCGACTAGCTCTTGAAAAGCTGAGGTTGGCTAAAAACGAATTTGAACATATGATCGACTTAGGAATCATTCGGCCATCAAACAGCCCGTGGGCATTTCCCTTGAACATGGTCCCTTAAAGAAACAGCAACTATTGGTGTCCAACTGGTGATAATCGATGACTGTATACGAAAACCTCTCCAGACTGTTAATCGTTGCCGGACATTCACTATTTGACAGCTACCTTAAAAAGTACATTTTTTTTCGATTTACTTCCCCATGGCAGTAGACAACACCCCTAAAACAGCTATTACCACCCCGTCCAGATTATACGAAATTTTGTGCGTGACTTTCTGCTTTAGAAATGATCCAAAAACTTTTAACTTTGTACATGAATATGTGGATGACTGCTAGATTGTAAGTCCGAACAGAGAATCCCATTTACAGCATCTGGACCTTGTTTTCGAACGACTCCCAAAACATGGTATTACTGTAAACATTAGGAAATGTCAGATCGTCACCGACTTCCTAGATTTTCTCGGACAAACCACTGATGCTTAAGACATTCGCCCTCTAAAAAACAAAGTGTTGGTAATTGTGGATTACCCAGAACTGACCACAGTCAAGCATGTACGTACGTTTAACGGCCTGGTAAGTTTTTATAGACGGTTTATACGAAATCGTGCGTCGCTCATGAGACCATTAGACAACCAACTTTGTAGAAATGCAAAAAACACTAATTTGAACGATAACGTCTTAGAGACATCCTTGCTGAAGCAACTATGCTCACACACAAAATCATAAAATCACCCATTAGTATCGTGGTAGACACGTACCACTGGGCAACTGGTGGAGTCTTACAACGATGAATAAACGACAGCCGGTAACCTTTGTCATGCTTCTCGAGGTAGTTGATAGACGCCGAATTGGGGTATAACACTTTCGGCAGAAACTCTTAGCCATGTATCGTGCTGCACGGTACTTTCGGCACTGTGGAAGGTTGATAATTCACTCTACTCACCAGCCTTAAACCTCTCACATTCTCTCTAAACTCGTCTCCAGACAAGTAGTTCTCACAAACGACTCAACACTTACTTACTTACGTACTTACTTACTTACGTCTGTTACTCCTCGTGAAGGGGCATAGGCCGCTCACCAGCATTCTCCATCAAACCCTGTCCTGGGCAATCCTTTCCAGCTCTTTCCAGTTCTTATTCATCCCTTTCACATCTGCTTCTATTTCCCGACGTAATGTGTTCTTTAGCCTTCCTCTTTTCCACTTCCCTTCAGGATTCCAAGTTAGGGCTTGTCTCGTGGTGCAGTTTGATGACTTGCGTAATGTATGTCCTATCCATTTCCATCGTTTTTTCCTAATTTCCTCTTCAGCTGGAATCTGGTTTTTCCTCTCCCACAAAAGGCTGTTGCTGATGGTATCCGACCAACGGATGTTGAGTATCTTGCGTAGACAGCTATTTATAAATACTTGTACCTTCTTGATGGTGGTTGTTGTAGTTCTCCGAACTTCAGCTCCATATAGTAGAACTGTCTTGACGTTCGTATTGAAGATTCTGACTTTGATATTGGTTGAAAGTTGTTTTGAGTTCCATATGTTCTTCAGTTGAAGGAATGCCGCTCTAGCTTTGCCAATCCTCGCCTTGACGTCTGCATCTGAGCCTCCTTGTTTATCGACGATGCTTCTCAGGTATGTGAAGGATTCTACATCCTCCAGAACTTTACCATCAAGTGTCATTGGGTTGGTGTTCTCCGTGTTGTATTTGAGGACCTTGGTTTTCCCTTTGTGTATGTTGAGGCCTACTGATGCAGAGACTGTTGCTATGCTGGCTGTCTTTATCTGCATTTGTTCGTGTGTATGCCATAGGAGGGCTATGTCATCTGCGAAGTCCAAGTCGTCTAATTGGTTCTGAGCTGTCCATCGTATGCCGTGTTCTCCCTCAGTTGTCGAGGTCTTCATAATCCAGTCGAACACCAGAAGAAACAGGAAGGGAGAGAGTAGACAGCCTTGTCTTACTCCGGTCCTTACTTGGAATGCGTCTGTCAGCTGTCCTCCATTCACTACTTTGCACTGTAGTCCATCGTATGAGTTCCGGATAATGTTGACAATCTTCTCAGGAACTCCGTAGTGTCGAAGAAGTTTCCATAACGTCCTCCTATCTACACTGTCAAATGCCTTCTCATAATCAATGAAGTTGATGTAGAGTGACGAGTTCCACTCAATTGATTGTTCGACGATGATCCGTAGTGTCGCAATCTGGTCTGTGCACGACCGGTTCTTACGGAATCCAGCTTGTTGATCTCGAAGTTGAGCGTCAACTGCGTCTTTCATCCTGTTCGGTAACACTCTGTTAAAGACTTTCCCTGATATTGACAGTAGTGTGATGCCTCTGCAGTTTTCACATTTGCTCAGATCTCCTTTCTTTGGAATCTTGATGAGGTGTCCTTCTTTCCAATCCATTGGCACTTGTTCCTCCTCCCAAATCTTCTTGAATAGAAGATGAAGCATGCTTGTAGTTAGTTTGATGTCTGACTTCAGTTCTTCAGCTGGTATATTGTCGGTCCTGCTGCTTTCCCGCCCTTGGTTTGTCTGATGGCCATTCTGATTTCTTCGGTCGTTGGTGGATTGACATCTATAGGAAGATCTGTGTGTGCTGCTCCGATGTCCGGTGGATTCATCGGAGCCGGCCTGTTCAGGAGTTTTTCGAAGTACTCTGCCCATTTGTTCTGCTGTTGCTGAATCTCAGTAGTTGATTTTCCTTCTATGTCTTTGACTGGTCTCTCTAGTTTATCATATTTGCCTGCTA